AGCCAATCAGCAACCAAGGTAAACGGCCAGAGAATCAGCACTTTGGAAACAGGGCTGAAACAGAGGGGATTATGGGTAATGCTGCAATGATCTGTTTGGTGTTTCAGCCAATCAGAGACATGTTTTGTATATATCTGAGACCTGTAACATATCGATGAAAAACAGTAAGGGGACCTTTAAGCACAAATTGAAATACTAGTATAACAATAACTTAAACGTTTAAATCATGTGTAACACAGCGAGGCTCTGAGGTTGGACAGGATGCAGGATATATTAAGCATTAAAGTAAATATGCAAACTGTCGTAGTTTTCATGGTAAATTATGATAAATGTATCTCCCTGTAGAGCGAGTATTAATGAATTATGCATGAGCAGGTTCTGCACCAGTTGTAAGAAACAGCGCTTGGTTAAAAAAGCTGTTTGTTTGGACGACCACACACATGCGTGAGCTGAATGTCAATCACTTTTTTAATGTCTCACCGTGCAGAGATTGATGGCGAGTTCATCAACAACCTGAAGGTCTTGGTGCCGTGGCTGCTCAGTCCTGAGAACATCGACGTGAAGGAGATCAACGGCAGCAAGATCACCTGCAGAGGCCTGCTGGAGTACTTCAAGGTACAGGTGTTCTTTAAGTGCATGTAAATGGTCTGCAAAGGCTAAAATCCCTGTGTTCCCTCCGGAGGGGGTTTCTCTCCCACACACTAAAAACTAATATCAACATATTTATTCTGTTATTTTAATGTATTTTATCCTATTTCCTTTATTTCAGGCGTACATTAAAATTTACCAGGGTGAGGAGCTGCCCCATCCAAAGTCCATGCTGCAGGTACGTTTTCACATCGCCTTAAATGTTACGGCAACTACTTCTGTCTCCATACACTTTACTGTTTATGTTGGTCCATAAAGTAATTAGTATCTCTAAATGTTTTTGCAATGCCTAATTTTAAGTATATAAAAGTATTTTATGGGCTACTGAAAGTAAAAATGCCTCACTGTAAATTGTTCTAGCTGATGTATAGCTGATGTTCCCACTTTCCTTAACTTCCATACGAAATAAAGATGAAATCTAAATCTTGTATTCCCCTTAAATAATCCAAATATTCCCACCTGCTTGCTCTCAGGCCACAGCAGAGGCGAATAATCTGGCTGCAGTCGCTGCTGCAAAGGATCTGTACAGCAAGAAGATGGAGCAGGTCTGTAGAAACGGGATTTTAAAATGAAACTGTGTCACTGTGTGACAGTTTTAGATTGAGGTATTTTCTGCAATAATCCAAAATAAATCCCATTGAACCAGGGAGATGCTGCCTTCAGGGTCTAAGTGCAATCATAAGACATAATGGAGACGAGAACAGGAGCCCAGACCCAAATAGGTCCCCTATTATACAGCATTACCCATGATCCCCTCTGTTTCAGCCCTGTTTCCAAAGTGTTGATTCTCTGTCTGTTACTTTAGATGAAAATAAGGACCCCCTCCCCACGCCCCTCTGAGAGAGATTTGGTTACAAAGAACTCAATGGTGCTCTAGGAGGAGATTCAGGTGATAAGGGGGGGGGGGGTTACCTTGGTTGCTGATTGGCTAATGGTTACACAAGCCAAAACATCGTTATGACATCATAAAGTGGCCAAAATCTGATCAGCTCATTTTCAGACAGGTTTTTATAGAAATGGATCANTCCATTATTACAATTAATTACAAAATCTGTTAATTGACTCATCAGTAACTTACATTATTGAGTATCTTCAAAACACCAGAGGGCAACAACCCTCTTTCACATCAGCGGCAGGGAATGAGGACAGATCCATTTACAGAAATAATCTATTGTTATTGACCATGCTTTGTTATAAATGCATGTATGTGCTGATACTGTAATTTTCTTTCTTTTTAATGCTTCTGCAGGGGAGCACAAATGAGGTAAGTGGAGAAATA